TTTTTCACTTCATTGAATTTCATTATCAAAGAAGACAAGCTGTCAACTTGCATCAATAATTTTTGATATAGCACACCTCACACTTTGAATAATCACACAATGTGTCTTTCATAGAATCGTTCAAGTGAGAACCTCTCTTTTTTCTGGAATATTAATTGTCCAACGTTGTCAGTTAAAGCATTTATTGAGAATGCATTATTGTGGATTTCACATACAAAGACACTTTCTTGTTAAGTCCATAATAAGATTTAATACAATTAATTGCTCAAAGTAGAAAAATAAGTTTTTTTTACTGCCCATATTTTCCCAGATCTTCGCTTGGACTATCAGCCCCGTTCCTGCTATTAATAGTCATTGCTATTTTCTTTTCACAAGTCTCACATAAATTTCATCAACATTTGGCCATCAAAGTAATTAATTTTATATGAATTTCAAATATTGGCACAATTTTTTCACTTATTTTGAGAGTCAATGACGAGATTTTTTTGTTTGTTTGTATCCAATTTTACCGTACAACATGTAAAGATGTTCTGTTTAGCAAAAAAAAATAATAATAATTAGAAACCAACCCCAAAAGTGTTTGCAACCACACTAGCTGTAAATCAAAAGAGAGCTTTCCATCTCATTTGTAAGGATGTTTTTTTTTGTCAGAAAATTTTGTGGATTTGGATTTTCAAGAGTATGTTTGGTAATTTGATTGTTTACTAGCACGGAATACCATTTTGGTTCTAGATCTATGCATTTTTTAAACTTTGTTTTTTTTTTATGAACACGAATGACAAAGAATAAAAATTAAATATATGTCTGGAATCGATTAAGAAAATAACACACACAAAGGAACAACACGGAGAAGTTGAATGTTATTATAGAATAAATAAAAAGTTGGAAAAAAAATCAATTTAATAATTGATTCAGCTGAAATAGTTCAACTATAGAGATAACAGAAATATAGAAGGAGGTATAAAAGCTTAAATAATTTGGTTATTTGCAATTTAAATGTTAAATATTCACACAGATACAAAATTTAGTTATTGAAATATTGATAAACGGAAAACTAAATAACGTGCACAAAACAAATCAAGACTAAAAAACAACGGACAAGTTAAGAATAAAAAGTGATATAACTTATGCGATATGGAAAACATATATATATATAAAAAGATATGAGAGTAGTAGAGCTTTATAAACACATGGGAATAGAAAACGAAAAAAAAAAATGCTTCGAGTGAATTTTTTATTTTAAAAAAAATGGTTGTAAGTCTGATTCAACAGATTACCTGAGACAATCGTTTTTGAGCTTATTCCATATAAAAATGTTCGATAATTATTCTGTCAAAAACTATCTCTGTCAAAAGAACGTTTGCTCAACTTGACATTGCCACTAAAGGAATGAGAACAGCTGCATTAGATATAAGTGCATGCACCACAAGCCACTTCAAATTGTGTAAATAGAAGGCGATTTTACAGTGCTGAGAGTTTATTGTTGAGTTTTCCACTTCAAAAGTTAAGAAAAAAATGTGGAAAAATGCTTATCACACTGTCAGGTTTGTTTTCTCGCTTTCACACATTTTACTACATAATTTCACACAAAGTCCACTTTGCATGTTAATTTGAAATGAATTAGTGGCAGTTGTTTGCGCTTTTCAAAACGCACCATGAAAAAATTGTAAAAACATTAAAATTGATTTTTATTCATATTTTTTTCTTTTTTACTTTGAACTAATAATCCATCTACGCAAATTGAAAAATATAAAATGATGGAATTGAAGGATTTTGAAAGAAAATGAGGAGGAAATTCAATTTACTTATACATATAGTATGTTATATATATAGGGGAATTTGTCTAGCAGTGGCGCCTGTTTGTAAATTGAACTGCAGATTATAGACGCTCGTCTCAAAATGAAGTAATAGATTTTTCCCAGTGTATAACTTTAACATCACCAAAAAAGTTGTCAACACTAAATATTTTCGAAAATTACTTTGTTCACCTGAAAGAGCACCCAAAAATCTAACAAAATAAGGGAAGTGTCAAAATAAAATATTCAAAAATAAACTTTGATGAAGATTTTATATACCGTTCGATAGCCAACTTTTATGTCCAACTTTCTATAATAGAAGTTCTTCAGGAAGACATTTTTTATGAATAAAAAAATCCAATTTTTTAAAAAACTGTGAACGCACCAAAAATGGAGCTATAGAATTGGTTCGAATAATCGGTAATCGGTAGTTTCGAATAAATATGATGTTGGATTAAAAAAAAACTTCTACTGGTTTTCTCTATAAGAAATATGGGGTGTGCGAATTAGAAACACCAAAGGTGTCCGAATTAGGTACACTCCGGCATTTTGAAGAAGAAATAGTTGAAACGACGTCAATGACCATACACCTTTTGCAACCAGAAATTGAAAGATAAAGGAAAGACCAATATCATGAATATATATAGCTTGAATTGAATCACTTTTATGTTGATTTTTTGACAGTTGGTAAAAAATGGAAAAAACTTTGAGAAAGTGTGAAAATTACTTTCTTTTGTGGAGCGAAGAAAAATGCGTTTTAATACGTCAGTATTAATGTAAAAATATTCTAGACGAAAAAACTATCGAATGACAGTAATTTGAGCTCAAATAACGATGACACCTAAATAATGTCATGGGTGTCCGAATTAGGAGCAGTGTCCGAAATAGGGACACTTCCCTTACAAACACTCACTTTTCGCATTTTTAAAAAATATTTTTTTTTAGAAATATTACCAGAGGGTATTTGAATGAATACTAAGAACGTGTGCGTTTACTCCAAAAATTACATAGAATGTGATTGGGCATTAATACTAAACTGTCAACATCTACATTGACTTCCTTAGTAGAAAAATTGAGAAATACTTCAGAGCGCCACTGCTAGACAAATTACCCTATATGTTTGTCAAAAAGCTCAATTTTTGAGATATTTCTTCCACAGCAATATCAAAACATATTATGGACAAGTGCTCAGTTTTATTTTTTTATATCGTATCGAGAATCGTTCTTTTTATAGATATGTTGAAAGAAAAAAAAAAAAAAACATAAAATACATTTTAAAAAAACTTAAAGCTCAACGACAGTCTCAAGTTTAACATTAATTACAATTGGTAGTTTAAACAATTAACGAAAACCTTTTTATACATTCAATTTTTAAGCGATAAGGCAATCAAATGAGCTCATCAATCAACATGATATGTATTACGAATGTTAACACTGTTTATTTTGACATTTGAAATAACGGCATTTTCAGACACTTTATGATGTGGTCGAAATCATTGGTTTAAGCCTGATCCATTGTTGAAAGTTAATTGTTTTTTAAAAACTGGTTTTCAATCTTACTTTAGTTTACATGTCACAAGTATCATATTGGTTGCATGATGAAAGAATTGATTTTTTTATCACTTGCAAGTGATGTGATCGAATATATGTGAGCAAAATTGATATTTCTATTTTTTTTAAAATGGAGGTGGTTTTGTAGAAAATAATTGAATGCAATCATTTTTGTTGTAAAATGAAATATTTTCACTGAGATTCAGGCTTCGTTGACGGAATTCGTTGCTGTGTAAAGCTTATCACTGAAAACCAATGCATCCAATGTTTGTGAATGTAATGAAATGTGTGACTTTTGATATGATTATTGGTGTCAACAATAAGTTCTGACATAGTTCGCATAGCTCACATAGACCTCCCCGGGGGACCCCTCTTGAATTTTGTGAAAATATTTTCTAAATTTTCTATTGTCAGAACCTATGGTGACAACACCCTTTTTATATTCGACCTTGAGTGTGTATGCACATTCAAATAATTTCACATAAGCAGTGCTCCGTAAATTGGAACCAAATGAACTGGCAAAGAGTGATGATTTTGTTTGGCGAATTTATTATTGTGAAATAAACAATACATATTATGTTTTCTCTCTGGGTTCTTTTTAAATCAAAATAAGGTTAACGACTAAAAGCAGACTTTCGCAAAAATTGGACACATATTCCCAATGAATAAACATACCATTAGAAACTAATTACTTTTTTGCAACTATTTTTGATTCATTGAACTCGCACTTGAGATGAAAGGACTCGAATTAGATGGCAACGATGGCATAAAACAAATCGATTTCTTTTTTTTAAGGTAGAAGCGATAACACTTCCGCGATTTGAAACAAATCTAGAGAAATCGTTTCCCGAATATTTAAATTCAACAGCCATTGCCCGAGCAATATTGCCATCTCATTGGGTTCTTTCTCTTTCTCAAGAATGAGGACTCTAATTGATTGGGTTAGAATAGTATCTCGATTTGTATTTTCTTAAAGACTCAAAATACAAGTCGAGTTCTTTTAAGCCCATTCAATTCATTTCCCGACAATTGTTCACTTCTAATTGAACGTATCAAAACGCTTTGTTATAGTATGAACGGACAACAAAAATAAAACATAAAGAAAGACTATATGAAAAGGGACATACTGTCAACAGAGATAGGCTGAGTTATATAACAACATAAGTATTCACTAGTTAAGATTTAAGTGCTATTAGTATATGAACTAACTACGAGAAGCATTAAAGCAATATTATCGCAAAAATGATAATGATTATGTGTTGAAAGATTTTTTTATTTAAAATGTTGTTTAAAAGAACGATAGTAATTCATAGATTAGCATTAGATATACTTGTAAATTTTCTAAGTAACGTAACACCGAAGTAATTTTTTTTAAAGGCTGTTATGATAATAAATGAACGATTTATTGTTTGTAATTTTTTTTTTCTTTGGATTTGTTCGTCTTTTAGCATTTGTATTTTTTTTTGTCGTTAAAATTGAAATTATTAATAATTATTTGTTTTATCATATTTAAGTGTTTCCATTTAATTTAAGTTATATTTTAGCCTGCTTTCTAACCAGTTAATAGATAATTTTGGATTTTTCTTTAATTAATTTTGATTTATAGATTGAATAATAAAATGACGGAAAATATATATTTGAACTTTAACTTACCGTCAATACTGTCGGGATGGTCCAGCTGAGTTGAGTGCGTATCATTTTCCGTATTTTCAGATATCGGTAAATTACTGTTGTGTGGTGACATCAATGATTCAATTGGCAACGAAGTTTGCTACAATGTGAACCGGGAACGTAAAACATACATACATATATACAAAAATTGTATTTATTACATTGACGTGAACCAAAAAAAAAAAACTTAATATATTAGGTCGTTGATGACATTGATGAAAATAGTGATAAAATTCCGGACATTATATTGAAATATTTTCAGGCAGCTATCGTCAGGAGCTGAAATGAAGCGACAACAATAGAAATGATTGTTATAGATATAAAACCATTTCCATTGTTACAATCGTCAGCGCCTGACATTAGCTGCCTGAAAATATCTCAATGTAATGTCGGTAAAATACAATAAGAAAAAAAAATTGGTTGTATTATTTGTGAAAAGTTCAAAACTCAAAAGTTTTCGGGTAGAAAATATTATTACAATTGTTTTAGGTAAAAATATAAAGTTAAAATGTTTGTTTCGAATAATTTTAAAAAGAATTTTATCAAGAGTGTGAGGTCATAACAATGGAATTTTAAAGTATATTTTCATCACTATTGGCAACGTTTCATCATTTCCGTGATCAAATACTTTGAAAGTTTGGTGCTCATCGAGCACAGAGGTGTCAACGAACGTTCGGTTTTGGTTGAGCGAACGAACCTGAAAACGAACCCAAGATCCCGAACCCGTACAAAAATTACATACAAAATGTGTAAAATAAATATTTTTTCTGCAATAAATTTCGAGGCGAAAACGAATGTCGAACTAGGATTTGGATGTTCGTTGACGGCTCGTAGCACCATCCATACGTAGATATCGTGAAGTTATTGATCTTGGAATTTAAAAGGCACCAACAGCAAACATTAATGCTTGTAAGCACACAAAATTCTATCTACGTGTAGATGGCGTTAATATTTGAAATGGACGTTTTTTCAATACAGTGTGCGACAATTGGAAAAATTTTCTCATGTTAAATTTGCTTACGGGAATAAGTTCCTGGCTAATTGGCAAATTGGGGTGAGTTCCCATTTCCATTAGTTCCTGCTTAATGTTGAGTACCGATTGTTGATTTGCTGGTGAGTTGCGACGACTTTCGTCACCTTCTTGATTCAATTTTGGCAAAGGACTTAATTTAAAGCTACTTTGCGAAGATGCCTAACACATTTATAAATAGAGAGAGAAAAAAAAACAATGTTTTTAAGTGGTTGTTTGTGCATTGGTGATTTGATCAGATTAAATGAACAAAGAGCAGAAGAAAAAAAAACGATTAGTGAAATGATAAAATGGTCGACTAGTAGTCATAGTGAATATTCTCCTACCTGAGAGTCCTGAGAGTAATGCCTTTCCTGTATATTAGTATTGTACGTTGATATTAAAGAATTATCACAGTTTGATGAGTTTTTTCGTCTCCGTTTATTACTACTATGGTCTGCGTGAGTGGTCGATGTATCTCTTTCACGATCTTTAAATTCTTTAAAATCCTGTATCGTAATATTATCTTCACTTCGTCTTTCTTTTGGATCTCGATTACTTTCATTATCTGCACCATGTTCGGCATCCGTTTTGCGTTCAAAGAAGCTTTTACCAGAGCTTGTTGAAAATTTTTCTATGGCATCAGTGCGATCTTTATCAGTCTCCGAACGATAATTCAGTGTGTTGTTATCCGTCAACCCGCGTACCTGTATGGATATAAGGACAAAATCCATTGTGACATCATATTGATTTTCAACAATGTTTAACTCATCAAATTTGACAGTTTGCTATCTATGTTGATCTATGTTGACATTAAAATGGCAAAATCAACAATGATGCGTCTCAAATTATACTCATCATACCTGTAGACTTTCAGCTGTTTTTAAAAATGATGGCAAACAATTCTGTCCAACATTCACTTCACCCTTATACATAAAATCTAACAACGAACGGATTTCTGAGTATCGTATATCCTTTAGATAGATTATAGGATGGGCGTGATTGTTTTGGAGAAATATTGTTTCGAAATATGGACTGCATGCTGACAAAATTGTTTGATGCGCCTGTAATTATTAGATCAGTTATGGGATAAATTACATGTGACTCAAAAATACTACCATAATAATATATCTTCAAAATATGTAGCTTAGCATATAAGCATACAATAATAATGTGCTTGAATGAAGTTTTATATATAAATGCATATGCGTAGAATCGACAATGTTACCTTCACTGTTTTTCCATCACAAGCTAATGTAACATCACAAAGAGCTTCGCGTTGAAGCAATGAAGATAGCACCCCAGTCAAGTTTGCAGGATGATTATTCCAACGTAGACAAAAAAATTGCTGATCCATTGATGGTTGATTGCCGGTAAATCTAAATTTGAGAAGAAAAAAACGGAACACAATAGGAGAAAATCATTCATTTACGCGCAAATAAGTTTATGACAAATAGATTCGATCTATTTTCTTTCATTTTCTTCCATTTATCAGCCACCGATGTGGAAAAAATTCGGGACGTTTTTTGTAGACGATTTGATTCTTCCGTAAAAAACAGGAAGATTATTGTTAACTTTGGTTTTAGACGTCCAGGCGTCCCAAATTTACCGCCTGACTAGATTTGAACATTTGTATAAAAAAAACAATCAACTATAATCGACTAAGCAGCTATAAGTCGAATAAAGTCCAAAAGTAAAAAATATACAGCAACATAACGTATTTTCTTCATGTGCATTTGTTATTACAATCCTATTCAGCTTTTATCAGATTTCGATGATCAACGTTCATGTTTATTAAACGTTGTTTGGCATACGTATTAATTTTTGCATATGTAACTTTATGTGTAGCTTCAAAGAACCCTGAGAAAATATTCATATTTTTTAATTGTGTTTCATTTAATTCTGGGCGCTAATAAACGGCTTTTAAATCTGTGAAGACTATAAAACAATTCGAATAACAATACAGAAGTTTTCATTGGTAATCAAGAAATCAATCCATTTAACAGAGAGAATAAACGTTTCATAAAATTCTGGTCGCATATACGAACAAAAACCAATATTCATAGACCTTCAATGCGTATGGGTGTCTCACCTTTTTCAAAATGATTACATTTTATTTCCCAAAAAATTCTATCAAGAGATCCCGTCACATGAATCATTTCTCAACAACAAACAAGTGTGGAAAATAATGTTTTTTTTTTCTTTGTAAGCTCTGATTTAAATGGAAGGGAAAAGGAAGCAGCCTGATAAAACACCCACCACTCTAAGTTTTACCTAGAGACACGAAATATTTTTGACTTTTGACTATCCCTTTTAAATATAAAAAACATGAAAACAAATCAAACAAACATGTATATCCAACATTTTTAATGGAGCCAAAAAAAGTTTTGATAAAAATAGATTTTTTTTTCGTTTTAGTATATGTTTTAAAATATATTAATCCAGTTATGTTTGAATAGCAGAACTATGTAAAACAGTTTTTAAAAACCTGTAATGATTTTGTTTAAATGTTGAAACGTTGAAATGTCAGTTAGTCATATTTGACTAATGTTGAAAGGAATATAATTTATACAGTATATGAATACCTGAGTTTACTGTTTGAATGTATTTTTTTTTTAAGTAATAAAGTGAGAGGGTAAACTACCGCGATCAAGTCAAACCAAATAAATTTTCCAATAAAAATACGCAACCGTTACAGGTTGGCATCGTAAATATTTGGGGTTGACTGTTTTTCTTTAGTTTGAGTTGAAATTTTTCATTCAATTTTGGGTCATTGCAACATATAAATGCACAATGTTTTTAAAATGAATGTGGTTTTTGATGGAATGTTCGTCATCAAATCATCTCAAAAACATATCCAACCATTACAATAACAAGAAAAACAGTATATGAGCTCAGTACTGTGTTTGTTTGATTCGGTGGAATGAGAAGGGAATGATGATTGTGTTTTTGCTTATGAACAATCAACTTCAATGTGGTTTATCATTCAAATAAACAAATTCCTGGTTTTACAAATTAGTAACATCTTCTATAGTTGCATCTTTATTTATTTACATTAATTTTAATTGGATCTCATTTCTATAGTAACAAAAACCGGATCGTAGATTTGTGATCCAAATACAGCAAACGATGTAGGTTCGGCAAAATGAAATGGTGAATTATTTAGAAATTGAATTGAAGAGATAAGATTCTGAAATCCGATCATAATTTGCAACATCAAAGTAAGCCAAACAGCAAAAGCAAATATAAGTCATTATCACCGAATTTTAATGATAATCAAATATTGTTGGTTAAATGCAACAACCGTGAACTTTAGCATATAAACTTATGAATTCAAGGAAACTTTATCTGGTCGGTTTAGTTTTGGTTATTATTAATTTAATGGCCTAAACCGAGCATTCCGGCATGTTGCTGCGATAAAACCATTTTATTCAACGGAACCGTGTGCTGTTTTACGGAAAGACATACAACAGTTTCCAACCATACATTACGAGAAAAAAGCAACAACAACAACGAATCAGTAGCTAAGCATTATATCTGTTACAGAAGACACAGATTCAACGATTTAACCATTCAATCTAATGATTACGATTGTTGTTTTTTTCTTTCTCTCATTCTTTTATCACACTTTGTCTGTACTTATTTGACTTTAACAATAACAAGTGGGAATACACATGCAAGTGGTTAAACTTCTTTCAATAGATCGCCTTGAACAAGCATTTTTTTATGTTATATTTTACGAATGTTTTCTTCGATTTTTATTGCACATTCTCTTCGTTCATTTCTAACAACAACAATTCACAACGTTATTGATCTATAGGTTGATCCACGAAAAAAACGAAGAGAAATAAATGTTTTGGTTTGACAATCGCGATTAAATACAATAACAGTATCAGATATCGCGATATGGCAAATTTCTTCAATTCTAACTACGTATAGTAATTTCTATTTTAAACATTTATATGAACGAAATGTACAGTTGCTTGGACTAGCTCATTCAGGTACATCTTTGAACGTGCGATGGCAACCGTTATATTCCAAATTAAACAATGTCAGGTTTAGTTGCCGCAGTAAAATTATATGCGATGTGTGTGTGTGTGTATATTATAGTAAGTACTTGCGTAATTTACTGTACTCAAGCTTGCCTGCAATTCGAATGCAACAACTGTGTACAATTTGGGTCAACACCATGTAACTTGTCAGAAATGTAGTGGTAAAAACGAGTTAATCCGTTAAAATAAAATTGAATATCGTTATCATAGATTGGAAGTTCTGTTACAAAAGTGTACGGTTCGTGTGTATTGAAGCGAAAGCGTGCCTGCTGTTTATAGGAAATAAAAAACGACACAATGTACGAAATCAAATCATAGAGCATATTACATATGAAGAAAATATGCCAATAATTACAATAGAACAAATGATTTTCTTGTAGCGGATATTACAAATGAGTTAATATTTTTATTTTTATTCTTTTTTAAAGAAACTCTATAAATGGCTATAAATATTTGACTTTGTCCAAAATATTTTATTCCCTTTATGCCTTCACGACGAATTGACGACAAATAAAAACCAAATGCGCTTGACGAAAAGAAATAAAACGATTTGGATAAAAATCAATTTCGTGCCAATAACAGAATAGGTATATAATACGAAGCTGTACAGAATTTAGAAATGAAATGCCAAATGTTGAACCATAGCATTCCAAATGTTTCAAACTAGTAAATTGGCTTTTTGTTCATCTTGAATAAAACCAACCATCAAATCAAAACTGTAAAGGGAAACATTTAACATTCAATTTGTAAAAAAATGTGTAAATTTATGCGTTATATATGCGAATTAAAATGCTTTTCGTTGCCTTTTTTTTGGAAACATTTTTGCTGTATATTAGTACTACAGATGCAATACGTTGAATAGAAGAAAAAAAAAACAAAAATTAAATAAAAAATAATTTGAATAAATGAGTCACATAAAAAAAGACTGCTTAATACAATATATATCTTGGTGTCGGTGTTCTTAAAAATTTTGTGAATTCATCCCACATTTTAAATCAAATATTTAAAAGTGAAGAGAGAAAGAGAAAAACGCGTACAGATCAATCCAATCGAGGCACATGTGAGCATGTATTGACGAACACATTTTCGTATAATAAACTGTGCGTATATATCTAGATTGTATATGTGCCATTGGAATGAGAGATGGAGAAGAAACATTTTTCGAATCAACTATTGAGAACAGAAGAAAGAAGCGAAACAAAAAAAAAAAACATAATAAAACCAAGAAAGAGAGACGTAGATAAACGCGCTTATGGCTTTTGTATTTGTATATTCACCTATTATAGCGCAAACGTGAATGTACTAGCATATGTACACCGACTCAATCGTATCATTGACGATTTTACTCGGTATAAACGTAGAAAATATAAACTTTTTGTTGTTGTCTTGCAAAGAGCAGTAAATGAGGATGTGTGTTTGTTGTTAACTACAATAAATAATACGATCTCTCGAATTTTTCGTATCTATTCAAGTTAAACAGTTTTTTTTTTCTCAATTTAATGCAACTGTATAAACATAGACACACACACAAATATATGTGCACTCATACACGTGCACAGCCGAGAGGAATCGGTCAGCGCTTGAGATTATGTAGATGGGAAAGAGATGCAAACAAGAACTATGAATAACACATCTACAGTCAAGTTTATTTGTAAATTTTTGAATATTTTCGTTTTGTTTTTACTTGTTTTCTAAGGGCATGATGTCAGCATACCCAATATCATAGCAGAGCTAAGAGTGCCGTGCCTTACATAAGCACACACCAAGTTTTCGGGCAAATAAAAAAAAAGACGACTAATAGCTGTATAAAAATGATACTCCAACACAAAATATATTGTGTGTTGGAATATGTAATAATCGCAGTGAATAATACTATGGTATCACCATGATTATGACACGCAGTTTACCTTTTTCATTTTTAATATTTTTTAGTCATCTCTCATTTTTATTCTTAAATATTGGCTTAGCTAGATGTGACTTTTTAAGCGGTTCTTTGACACTTTTTTTTCTCTCTCATTCGGCCAGTTATTTGTCCTGAAAAAAAAAATATTAGCTGGTTTCAAATATTTTTTTTTTTTCGTTCATTTGCGATCAACGAGCAACACACACTCATGCTGCCGTTAGTTCGTGTACTACTTTTGAGATATAGTACGAAATCCATAGTTGCCATGTGAAAAACATCAAACGTTGCCTCAATATATAATATAATTAGAAGAATAGAATTTTGATATAGTTTCATCGTCGATATATATATAAACATAGGTTTATTTATTGTAATAATTATTGTAATTGATCATAAAAGCAGATAATTTTTAGAGCATTGAAACGGTACTGGACATTTCAGAAGCATCATAAATGGTTTTGCTCTTGAGTTTTGTTTAACAAAGCTTTGAGCACGGAAAAAAAAAGTTATTGTGTTCAACATATCACTTCATATCTATTTAACAGATCGACAAAATGTGCAGAGGCAGAGAGAGGATGGAATGTGATTCAATACCATTTTTACACTCCCTTTACTTTAAATAAACTCACATCACACATTGGTCATTGTTTGAAAGAGTGTGTGAGAGAGAAAGAGAGAACAAGCGGTCGCACGAATGAATAATAGTTGAGAAGAGAGAACGCCGTGCGATGGCAATCAAGCACCGTTCGTTTGAAACTTCATCGTGGTTCAGCAAATAGAATTTACATAAACAATTTTGTCATACGCATAAAAGCGTATGCTTTTCCGTGTATCGAGATATGGAAGGAAAAATTCGAAAGGAAGAGAGAGAGAGAGAGAGAGAGAGAGAGAGAGAGAGAGAGAGAGAGAGAAAGAGGAAAGAGAACGAAATATTGTTGAACGTAAAATGAAACTGTTGAATAAAAGTGAATCTTTTATTTAACGTTACGCGGTTAAAAAAAGGAAATTTTTGGGTGCAAAAAATTCTCGTTTATTATATGAAACGTATCTAAAGTTTAGCATCAAAAGGAAACCAAGGAAAACTAAAAAAGTGAATATAATAGCTTACTACATGGCTATAACAGATTGTATGTATACAAATGCATTCAACACCGAACCAACACGCCAAGCTTGATATTCATATGTCTATCTATATATTATTTAAAAACCAAAATGAGAGGAAACGAAAGAGAGATGGAGAGCGCCAGCAGATGGCAATCTAGTGAGAATATATCGACAATTTTTTTTTTTGCAAATAAATAATTTGTAAAAGGACCACAAGGAATTCGTAAATCGAACAGTCAATTTAAAATGTTCGCTGTAATAATTAGCACACTCAATTCTAGTACTAGCATAAACTTATTCTAAACAATTTTGGAGCTGGTATTTCGGCGAAACGCATGGAATATAATAAACACACACAGAGAGAGACACACGTGCGCGCATATTCCACAGTATCACACTCATGTGAAAATAGAATGTTTCGTTGGTTTGTTTAAAATGGTTTTTGGGTGTAAGCCTTCAGTACTAATTGGGCACTTGCCAAAGGTTTTTTGTTGTTGCTTTTATTTCTATCGTGTTGTCATTTTCATTGTATGAGTTTTGATTCAATACTATAACCAACTGCCGCAACAAATTCAACTTGTAAATATTTAAAAAAAAATATATGTCTAAAATGAATATGTGCTCATTGCTGCAATCAGATGAAAATTCTTCAAGTCAGCAATTTTTGAAATGAATTCGAAATACACTTGTATTATTTTTGTGCACTCTCATTTCCATAGTCAAACAGCCAAAAATACATAATACTAATCTAAATTGTTTTTATTTTGTTTCTCGCTCGTATAAGGTTTGGCTCAAGGAATTCTTTTTTTGAAAACAGGTGGAGAAAAATAAAGCGACCGAACATATTGAGTGTCCGTCTGAAAATATCTTTTGGACAATTTGATTTTATCTTTTCGTCCATGGATAAAAGCTTAATCAAGTATATAATATTACATAATTAGTTATATTTCTATGCATCTTCCATGATTCACCGCTACATTGGAATTTAATTGAATTTAACCGTGTGAAATTATCATCGATGTTCAAGATCTTATCCAGCGAAAGATTTGCTCATAATCGGCCACTGATTTTGAAAAAATCGTACATGACGGAGAGAAAATGTTAACAAAAATCGTATAATATTTTGTCGAACACTCGGTACATACGGGTGAAGTTCATTAGAAACGACAGGAAGAATTGGAAAATCCTGGACGAATGTTGCAAACTACAACGAAGAAAACAACAGAGGCAATTCATTAAAACCAATATAAAGCTGCGAAGCATGAAAAGGACCCAATTCATTTTGTTGCTTTTTGGCTTTAATAGTTTCCGTTGTCATGGATGCAACACTTATAGTTGAAGAGCTTTGCGAATAGACACAATATCAACGTAAGATCATAATATATATTTTGTTAAATTGTTATTGGCGTTTCAATTCAAAGTGAAACTTAATGTACACCCATCTATTTTGTCAGTTGTGAGGATCATACGTCAAAAATGCTATATCGTTTGTACGTGCATCAATTTTATTTATTTAAGTATTTCTTTTTTCTTTTTTTTTTTCTTTGGCTTGCTCTAGAAAATTATTATAAGTGGGACCTAATTATATACGCTGTCGTCTGAGCGTAAGAGAGGTATGCAAAATTCATTCCAAATAAAAACAAAAACAAAAAATTGAGTGAAAAATAAAATCCAATCGTAGACGTGCGAATAAAGCATGTTTGTATTTAAGAGGTTTACCTTACATTTTATGATCAAAGAACTACTTCGAAGCGTATATCATGGGGATTTTCGTTAAGGATATATGTGTGCTCTTTGTTGTTGATAGGAGGAAACCATGAAGTTTCGTTTGATAATGGCAATAAAAAACGAGAACAACTCGCACCAAATGTTATTTTTTTTTCGTTTATGGGTACAGTTTATGATTTTATAAATTGAGAAATAGAACTGCAACACATTATATTTTGTTCGTTGCACCGCTGTTTGACTTTCTCACCCATCTTTTTAGAAATAGCTTTCGTTTTGTTCTAGATTTCAAGAAGTTGATTTTCCATGCAACATAGTTTTGTGAACGATAACACAAATTGTAAATGATCTGGATCAATATAGATTAGCCATAAATTATAGAATAATTGGCCAAAGATCATTATCATCCGAATAAAATAAATTAACAAATATTTAGCAATACTTCAAAGTACTTTTACTATAACGCTCCGTAACAAGTTTTCAGTGTCAATCGTAACCATGTTTGCGTAGAATTTCTTCTTTGGAAATAAAAAACCTTTCAAAATCAGTTTGCCAATGCTTTGCAGTCAACTCAGCTGTGGATATTTTCTTATAAGTGATAAAAAGAAAACAAAGGGTATTTGCAGCAATTGGATAAATAAAGACTTTTACGATAACACATTTCTTTTCTTTCTTTCTTTCTTTCTTTCTTTCTTTTCACTGAACATTTTTTCAATAGGCGCCAAGGTTTCAAACGTAGAATATTGTTTTGCGCACAAGTGCCATTGATTTTCAAATTGATATATTCGCGATGAAATTGAGAAATCGACACATTTTTTAAAAAATCGGTATACATGTTATGAATGTTCTTTAAATAATTCAAGTATAATGAATAACGCTATTACACATTTCATTGAATATTCGAAATACCATAAGCCCCAATCAAGGAGATTCCACACAACGTCAAGTTGTCATGAAAATATTTCATACATGATACGTATATGGACGATTGTAAAATAATATCTGGATCAAATATCACTTCAGTTCGATCAAGTAGAATGGAGAAAGGTTTACAATTGCTTTTTTTATATTCCGGATGCATTTCAAAAGAAAACGGACACGTTAGCTTCCGTGTACTCCAACGTGTGTTGCGCTCACTGTGAAATAATGTCGTGATTTGAAGTTAATTCATTGGAATCACTTTTGCCGTTCAAACAATGGTGAGAGAAAAAAATGGATTTTTTTTTCAAACAACGAAGAGAAGACTTTGCTTGAGCATTGGAAAAATAACCAAAACATCTCCTATTATAAAGAGCAATGGAATCCAAACATTGTGTAAGCGTCAAAGATGCGAATTGATTATACATACATATATATTATATTGATTTCACTTGAATTTCACTATTGTTCGGAAAATTCGATTTGATTGATTGATTGCTTAAGTAACATATCCTGCAAAATCAATTTTATGGAATAAAATAGAAATAGAGAGAAATAGTTTTATAGAGAAAATGTTGAAATATTCCGTTGCTTACCAACGGAAACGAGATTTAAATGTATACAGAAAAAAAACTCACCTCGGTGGAACAAAAACTATCCAAATCGAATAAATTCGCGGCGAATTTTGTTGTTTTTCTGCTCTTTTTTATATCGTTAATTATGATCATCAAATTAAAAACTTTTATTCTATTAAGCAGTTCTATTGGTTCAATCAAATGAAGACTTTTTACTTTTCACACTTAACTGCTTCTTCAAATTTCGTTGGTGATTTTTTTCTCTCTTCTTCTGTTTGACGTAAATTCGATTACAGAAGAAAATGTTGAATCAATAAAATATCAAACGACGATTTTTCTTTTAACAGCGCTTTATCAACACTATCAATGATGATTTCTGCACAGCGCTATGTCTTTTTTTATTATTTAAATTAGGTCCAAAATCGATTTTCTGGTGTAGGTTTTTTTGGTTGCTATAAGAGCTCACCGAATATAATTATTTTTTTTTTTTGTGAGCAAAAAGCAGAAAAAATGATTTGGCACGCGAATGATCTTCAGTACAGTACTGTTGTTGTTGTTGTGAACTTTACACTATTACACACTTTTTCAAAAAAAGAAAAATATGAAAGATACGATGATTCTTTTTTTTTCTCGTTCATTCATTTACTAGATTTGGCTTCGGTAATAAACTTTTTGTTTGTTAATTTAACTAACATCAAACGCAAAAAATCGAATTATTATAAATATCATCGAAGAAGATTTTGGCACAGATTTGTTTGACAGGGCTTACATTTAACATTTATTTTTAAAGAGAATTATCTAATGCAACAAATATCTAGCAATATAAAAAAAATGAAACAAGAAAGAGCAATTTGAAACAATAATTAACATATTTTGTGCAAAAAAAAAAAAATCGCGTCACACTGAACGATTTCTATTCGAATAGTAACACAACATTTTCTAATTTGATATATAAACTTGAAGAGGAGACTATGTTAAACGAACTAAAGCAACTAATAAAAGCAAGTGGTCGTCATACGAATGTCCAAAAAAATAAAGCGAATGAAAAAATCAACAACTGAAGAAAAGGCAATGCAAAAAACTTAGAACAAATACATTCGCGAATAAATTCGCGAATACTATCATCATCATTATTATTATTATTATGAATTGTTATTATTATGCTTATAATATCTCCGGCTGTTAAGTGATCCACATGGCTATATGCCGCATTACAATAGTATGTGTATTTAGTAATAGCAGCAACAGAAAAAGCAAACGGCAACGACAAACACTAGTAGATTTTTATTCCATGTGTTACTTATATTATCTTTGGCAATACAGTGTATACATTCGAATGAATGAACATGAATAGAACAGCTAAGCCATAAACGAAGAAGAAGCGATATTATAAAAGAGCATGTATTGAATTTAAAGAAGGAAATCACTAATAAGAAAAGGACAGTCAAATAAATGTAATGTTTGAAAGAAAGATTTGAAAGAGTGATTATTATAAGAGAGTGACGGAGAATGTAAATGAAAGCATAGACACAAATACAAAATATATATGTATCTTTCTCGTTCTGTGTTCATCGCTGCGCTCTATCTCTCTTTTTCACACTCTAACTCTATCTCGTTCGTTTTCGCTACACATATTGATACGGTATGATGCGAGTGAGCGACCGAACAAATAAACGAATGCGAACCAGCGACCGATTCGTATATATATTGAGGTAGCACAGTAACATCAAATCTCTACACATATGATCATGAGCCAAATGAGCGAGCTGTTACACGAACGTGGAATGCGCGCATCGTTAAGTCAATCGATTCCATACATTCAAAGTCACACTAGTGTAATATCCACTGTAAATTTTGCACAAGTTACTTTGCACCAAAATACAATGAATTCGTTTCTAAATAGAGTTAATTTTTTTAAATTCCGTTTCAACAAAAATATTTTTTCCGATTTTTTTGCTTTTTTTTTTTTTTGGAATACATTTTGGACAAAATTGTAGATGGTTGTTTCACTCTCTTCCTCTTTGTTTCTTCGACGCGCTCGCGCCCAGATTGCGTTATGCAATAATTGATAAATACAATAAAAAGCCCAACACTTACTGTGATACTATAAAATTTGATGATGATAGCAAATTAAAGCAAAGAATGTTACTATTTCTATCTATTTATGAATTTGATAACAGGCAAAAAGGGAAGAAAAGAAAGATTAGATACACTAGAAAGAGAGAGAGAGATGTTTGGTTTGTCCGTTCGTTATTTTAGTATTTGAGCAAATTCTAAATAAATAACGTAATATTGGTATTAATATAATGATACTAATATCCGACCAACATCAACATCAACATTAGTGCGTTACATACACACAACAGCAACGACACCACCAACAACATATTCACAGCAGCAAGAGAGAAAGAAAAATAGCGAGAGAAGAAAAAAAAAATACTTGCCAAACGTCGTAACGTTTCGGTATGTTCCGCGATCAAGCAAAGTAAGTATGCGCAAAAGTGTTTACAACAAATAGAGGTTCGAAAGTGTGAATGTATGCGCTCATCAACAAAAAGAGTTCACATATATCGTCAACCCACCTACGGACTTGGCATTTTTATGTCTTTCACTGCACAGAGCAAATGTACAAATTTGTGTGTTGAAACCTATAATAAAACATGCATATTTCTACAAAAGTCAATTCATATTATACAACAATATACTACATAGATATAGTACGAAAAACTGTAAATGGGTCCATGGCGTCGGACACTTACAAGCTTTTTTTGCACATAGAATTCGTATTGGTTTTATACTTATTTACAAAACTGATGTATTAAAGCGTATAACAAAAAAAAAAACTTGAATGTGTTTTTTTTTTCGTCAACGCGAGCATTTGGTCAAAATGAACAACAGATGAGGAGGACGACATGGCGTTTCTGTTTTTATTTTGAATTAAATAGACATATTTATTTTATGGAATTGTATTCGTTCAGTACCAATGTTTGGGAGGTTAGTCACTTGGCATTAAGATACCATGTCCACCTCCCCATTGGTGTTCGTTAGACGCACATGTGTGGATTGCGTGCCAACGATTTCAGCCGAAGGAATATTTCGTTCTCCACGAATTTTCTATTTCGAATGTCATTCTAACCTCACGTCATCGCTCAAATGTATGCGTTAATTTCGTCTCTTAATGTTGCATACTAAATTTGATTTGTACATCATTTTTGTTACGTTTTATGTATAAATGCAATAATCGCATTAGCCCAGAAAAATGTGTGCGTGTATGTAGATATAAAATGTCATCCTGACGTCTTTAGTCAATTATATGATGATGAAGAAAATGCCATAAAAATATCTGTTTTATTGAATTCCATAAATTAATTACCGAACTATGAATTCAAATCAATCAAATTGAAACAACATCAACCGAAAATCGCTGTTTGAAATTGTATAAATCAAATCGCTTTGAACCAATACACTCGCAGCATCTTTTTTTTTTTGCTTCTTTCTTCTTTAATTTGAATTAGATCATATTGGAGTTTGGCACTTATGCGATTCGTAATTTGTATGCGTGTGTATGTTTGATTCTCTTTTGTACAGCGAATGCGAAACAAACTATGGATTGAACCAATTTTGAAATTACTTCGGTTCCCTCAACAAAACTAGTTTTCTACGCACAACATTCGTGAATACAGTTTAAATTAAAGTCGGTGGCTGAATTCAAAGTATATAAGAATCATTGTGATCATTCGTTTTATTCATGGTCGTTTAATGAACTTTCTACAAATACCATTTAATGTCGTTGCGTCAAATTTATGTAAAACGGTGTCAAATGTATATGATAGGAAAAATATTCGTATATTCTTCAGATCAGCCAAGATCAAGAGCACTCTTTATCTAACTCTTTTGAAATCGAAGACGTTGTAATAATATTATTCAGACTTGAAACTTTTTTCTTTTGCTATTATGAGATAAAACAATAATTCCCATTACAAACAAACACAAAAAATATTTAATTCTTCCGCAATTTTTTTTTTGTTTTGGTTGTCGATTCTATACTATAAGTTTTGTCAGAAATTTTAAGCGAAACTGTACGACTTTGCAATTGTCATCGAATAAATTATTAATTGAATACACTGAAAAAGTTTCTAAAACAATTCGTTGTTCAAATGAAGAGTAGTTTGAAAAGCTTTTCTACAATTGAATCCGAATAAAAGAAAGCTTTAGAAGCAGCAATGCACTTGATAGAAACTATTTGGATTTTTAAAAGGATGCATGTTTGTTCTTGTATTATACTCATGTGCATGTAGACATTGGTAGTCTTTGGTTTTGATGCTAATTGGTTGATGCACAGCTGCAATTTGAAATATATTAAACAAAGTCGAAAACCGCATCGATTAGGTGCATCGTTATTATCCATACAATATGCATATTGTGAATGAAACGCACATAGATTCAGTTGTGCAGCTCTATATTAGAGTGAAGTCGATGGCTTAGATTGCGAATCAACACAAGAAATTGTTGATAATATAATAGATTTTGTCAGTAAATGAACCACAAATTTCCACCCTAATATTTACATGCGCAGATTTACAAGCAAATTTACAGATGCGCAACGCTCATCTAACCGAAACAATGAGCTTTGATTGCATTTTATTCGATTTACTTTGGTGTACAACCAGACTATATATATTTGTATATATGATGGCTTTATACTCTACATCAACTAGTTTGTAATGTACCTGAATTTGCAAAGTGAATATCAGAGTACTTCAATAAATGAAATTGAATTTACAGCATTAACTTAATTTAAATGAATTGATGATTTTGGCAAAAATGCCAGCAAAATTTTGTTGGATTATTGGATTTTACTGAAAAGTATTTTAATTTTATAACTTTTAGATTATTTAGTATTCAAGCGAAATAACTACATGATTCCTTTCTTTTTTTAAACAAAGTTTTCATCGGAAAATAAATGAAATAACAATGGGATGCGACCATATATGAGCTAAATAGAAGGGATTATCTATATATTTTTATATCGTAGTCAATGAGTAAGGAAATAATCCAAAGTATGAGATGAATTTTTCTAAATACACTCATTCATATATTCCAAACACAAAACCACCCGACAATCAAACATAGAAAATACTTTACAATAGCCTTATTCTTTCATTTACTATAATAATATAATTTCTGCATTGGGGAAAATTCTGTAATAACAAGTCAACACGTCGAACAAGTCAAGACGTCGAACAAGTCAACACGTCGGCAAGGTTTTATTTTAATTTCCATAAAAATGAACATTCATTATTGAATATTGAAGCTATCTCTCTTGATAAAGATTTAGTAAAAATTTACTCTTGTACAAAATAGTCCTTTCTTACTCCAGACATATTCTAACCAGACACATCAATGAAATTGTAATATTGATCCAAATTTTGAATTAGTGCAAGTGAAATGATAACAAAAAGATGTAATTGTGTGACACACATTATTACTATCTAACATTTTTATCGTTTCAAAAACAAAATTAAAAGCACAACTTTTAAAATGCTGATATAAGTAAAAATGAATATGATCGATACTAAACAGCGCTTATATATTATATTACTTTAAGTAATACCATATATTTTTAAGCTTACACATCTGAAAGATCACTGTATTTACTATGTAAGCTTAACGTGCACTGATAAAAACCAAAATCAAATATTAAAACATTTTGAAAAGCAATTTCAATCGCTGAGTAATACTCAAAATCAATGTAATAAACAGATGCCACCACTTAGATGGTCTTGATGATTTTGATTTTCTCCGATGAACTATTCACACCCTTCGATGTCATAAAGGTGCAAAGCCAACTTTTCAACAATAATGAATTGGCGCCAACAATTTTAAAAATGAACCGGAAAATGTGACATTAACTGGCTCAGAAGATAATATTTTTTGAAGTTCTGAGAAACGGGGCCGGTATTCTAATGCCACTTTCCGATCAGTTTGTTCGGAATTATTCCGAAAAACATATTTCTATGAATGAATGTTGTTTTGAATAATATTGTAGCACATAACGAGAATAATAGTCGTTATTCATAAGACAAAAAAAATAAACAATATTCCACTTATTTTGTTCGGAATTATTCCGACACCTCTTTCAACAGTGGAATTATTCCGACAATATATTGAGCGGACTATTCATTTGAAACTAATATTTTTTTGTCTTTTCAACATTTGGCGTCAAATATGGACACCAAAAGTACCAAAATATAACTTTAATAGAGCTCTACATTTGTCGCCAAATATTGAAAATATTAAAAAAATTGTTACACACTCAAAATATTAGCTACGGTCAGGCGCTGAATCGGACTGAAAACAATAGAAGTGGTTGTTATAGTGATTTTAGTAATGTGAGTGTTAATATAATTATAACAATAACTTTTATTGTTTTCACTGAGCTGAGTTGTTTATATAAACAAATGATTCCGAACGATTTTTGTGGATTGTTCTAGAATACCGGCCCCGATCACAGTATTTACACTTACACTAAAAATATGCAAAAGAAAAAAAATATTTTGGTTTGCTCTTTGCGTCCCAAAATTCAGTCGAAACCGCCAGAAAAACGTTTATAAATAACTAACATGAATCAGCAAACATCACAAAGCAACCCGTGTTTAGATTTACAAATTATTTTCGTTTAACAGTAATGGAATTTATATTTGTAGTAACTTACCCATGCAACAATGGATGTTGGATGATAAAATTTTGGTTGAAGATAACATGGTTTTCAATTTTTTTTATACAATTCGAAAATTAAATAATTGAATTATATTAAAGCTTATCTAATGGTAAGAAAATGATTTTCTTTCAAAAATTAACTTTTTATGTGAAAATAAATTGAGCAAAATATTTGCTATTGATTTTTATTCAAACTCAAACTGGTGAATCGAATGGAAACTTCGTTTGGACGAGGTTTTTGTTTGCCGTGTATGAACATATGCATTTTTTTTCAAATCATTCTTATTTCACTATGAGTAATGCACCCCATAAAAACCGGCATCATAAATTTCAATTTACTCACTATGTAGTAGTTAAAAATGTAAGGTTCGAGGACATTTTTGAAATAGCTCTCAATGTAAAACAAAGTCGAATGTA